ACTGGTTCCTGAGCCATACACTCCATTCGGTGCAACTGCTCTTCAAAAAAATAGTGCATTTCTTTCCTTGTGAGCACTCCATTTCCGTCTAGATCAATGCATTTGAACCTAGAAAAGGGAATCAGGAAGATCAAGCAACACCGTATTTTTGGATTATACATTATACCCCCCAATCCCCAAACCCCAAACAAGATAAAGATATTCCCTCCACTACATCTTAATTGAGACTATGAAAGGATCTCCAATTGATTTTTGCTAGGAAAGAAGAAAAAATAACAAAATAATCAAGATAAGGATCTAAATTGATGAGAGGTCGCAGCTGAAATGGTAAAGGAAGATGCAACACAAAATTATTAGAGAACTCTTTCTATTTGATCTTGCAGTAGATTAGATGATCTGGGTCTGGAATCCTACTTCTTTCCATGCTTTCTTCCATTTAAGGCATTGAGTTTTTTCAAGAAATATTGATCTTGCAAATTTCACTCATGTTCAAACCGTTATTTCTCTGTTCAAATCTAAAATACCTTAAATTGAACTACATTAGAAAGTTCACACAAAACCTCCAGACAGGAGTAAATATACCAGTACTCGAGGCTAGGTTCAGATGATTTATCCTCTTCAGCCAAAATGAAGAACACAAAGTCTTCATACCCCATCCTCCCTTCAACGTTACAAGTAAATTTTCTTGGAACCTAACAGGAAAAGACAACAAATAAAAAGCTTGTTGGCCCAAGAATAATCCAAGAGAAAAACCAGTCAATAGATGAATAATCCAAGGGGAAAAATTCAAACCTGAGAAAAGATTCTATCGACAATCCGATATGTTAAAGCATGGTTACCATATTTGATAACATTCTCTTTCTCGATAAAAAAATCATGATCATTGTCAAGCTCCCAAAATTTGCAATATATGACATAGAAGTGTTCGTATGAGAAGTACCTAAACCACACAAGGACAATCGTAATGAAAAAGATCCAAAATCTAAACAATAGCAACATATGTTTTTAGCATATAAAGAAAAAATCAGATAGACCTTATTTTGAAGAAAGATTAATTTTTTTTAAAAAAAAAAGAAATCATTATTTCATAAAATGACAGAAAAAGTAATTTTACTATATCCTAGACAAAACAACTGAGACATAAGGAGTCTGTTATCATGTTCAAGTTTCCTTTAGAGAATACAACTACGTGATTAGAGTGTATCAAGATAACTGCCTCCTATAGATAACATTCTGATTTCCTACAAGAAAACTGAGTGTTGTCAACATATGAGCATACTTCAGGACTTTGTTGATATCTTCTTCCTTGTCCACATGCTGCATTGCAGCAATTAAGTTGCCACGCTTCAACTCCCTGAGGGTAATACGACCGTTACTGGATCTGTTAATATAGTAAAATATCCTGTATATGACTGTTTCAGCTGTTCCATTCGTAAGAGAAAGTACACATCGAATCAGTTTCACATTGCAAGACATTAGATCCATGTGAACATTGGACCCATGTGTAAATTAGACTTGCAAGTAAATTTTTAACCATAAATAAAAAGAGGAAAAACTACTTAAGTTTTCAAAATTTTCCTTGGATTTGGAAACATCTCAAAATAGTAGATAACAAAAAAAAATCATAGATGGAAGTAATAATCTTAATTTCAAAAGCTAAAAACAAAAAGTCAATTGGTTATGAGATGAGGCTTGGGTAAATCATGGAAGTAGGGAAAAGTACATGAGGTTGAGAACATGAATAACTTCAGAAAATAGAGTTGAATATTTTCCGCTAATTAGAATTTTTAAATCAAATGCTCAAACAATTAACATTGATAATGTTTACTTGGGTTGAAACATTGTATCATCACTAAAACTTCACTAGGAATATTTTAGTCAAAGTTGAAGCCCTTCAGAAGAATGTATAGGCAAATTGACACGTGGAAATCACAACCAAATTATATTAGCAAAAGAAACAGTGTGATCAAGGTCTAAATAATATAGAAACAATATATCTATAAAATCAGTTCCTGATTACACATCTGAAAAAGTAGTGTAGCTGTAATCTTCTCACCATATCTTTCCTGGAATTCTGGTGTACTTTGCAAAAATTCCAACCCCGGATGAGTTGCCAAAAGTTCTTGTAAGGCAGGTTTGAAATCATCCTGAATTGAAGATACAAATTTTTACTGAGGAAAGGGAAACAATTTTTCCCTGCGATATTTCTCAGAGAAATGAGCTAAGCCAAACTACAATTTTCAAAAAGGATTTTTGATTGTCATCAATGTTTGAATGTGAAGCACGTATATGCAGCTTTTGATAGAAAACAATACCTGAACAAGGTAATTTCGCTCTGGCTCCTTGAGAATAGTAAATACTTGAGTTGCTAAATCCATAGTTAACATATTGCTCGTAATCCAATAATTGATGAACTGTTCTCTGCAAAATAAGCAACAAAGTCATTACAGACTTCCAGAAAAAAAATCTACAAAACAAATACTCATTCAGTCATCAGGATTTAATTAATAGTCCCATGTTGCTCAGATTCCAAGGATCATTCAATTATTCAACATATGTGGAAACAGAGCATAGAATCCTAAAAATGCTTTCATTTTAAAGTTCACATATAGATATTTTCACTTCCATTCTTAACTGCATACCTCGATACTTTTCCGCTGCAGTTAGCATCAATCTTCCTAAAAAGAGTAGTGGAGAGATATGAAGGTAACTTGCAGATCTCCTTCGTGACTGATTTAAACTCTGCATTGAAAAAGGAAAATGAAAAATGATTCCTTAAGAAACTAAAAGAAAAAGAGCCACAGGAACAAGCAAGAGAAGAGTACAATTGCATTACAGTTCATTCTCACCCTTTATTTGCACTCCATCCGAACGAGACAGAAAAAATTGATTCACTTTAGATAGAAAATCTTCTGTCGTGGCATTCGGTGCTGGACAACCAGTTGTAAAATAAAACTACAAACATATTATAAGTCTCATGAGACTCTGTGAACTTGTAACATCTCTAATGCAACTTTGAACAGACAAACATACAAGCCCTGCATACTTGGATTAATAATTAGCGAACAATCTACAGTTTCCTTTATACCTGTGGTATAGCCTCTCTTGCTGGCTCACAGACCAACTTAAGTGGAGAGCCTAACGAAGAAGGTCCAAACCTCTGTTTCACCATCCGTGGGGAACTGGATGCACTGCGTGGTGAAAGTGGAGGTGTACTGCCACCGGGAAACATGGAAGGTAGAGAATGGTTAGAAACACCATCCATTCCAGTAGAGTTCCCGCCAACATTCAAAGAAGCACCGGACTTCGCATCAGTAATCAAAGAATTCACCTAAGTTCAAAACAATAATTGGAGGGAAAAGGGTCGTCAGAAGGAGGCAAAAATCAGATGAACGTTTACAGTATAAATTCCTATACAATACAAGAACTTCTGCCGAAGGAATCGCTATTCACTGTGTGGCTATGGAGAGGCGCAAGTAATTTCTAAAATTGATTAGTTTTCTCATTTGTTATAGGAAGCCATAAAGAACACCAATCATGACCTTGAAAGTACAGAACACTCGAGTAACATCGATTTAGAGTTTCTAAACAAAGCGTAGTATTAGGATGAATCGAAGAAGTACCAGTCGGCCAGTCTCGGGAAGCGAAAGCCACTGCGAAAACAGCGCCTCAACGACATAAGGATTGGATTTCAGAGCAAAATAAGATACCTCGGGGAGCTGCAACATCTCCAGGTCCAGCGGGAACTCCAAGTCACCTACAGCGTCCATATCCATCACGAATTCAATCCACCTCTCGTACAAACCGCAAATTCAAATCACCACAAACAGAAAACCTAATCCCCACTCTTCATGAACTCCACACTCGACTCTCACTCCACTGCGAAGCACTTTGAAGTAAGATCTCCAAAAGCAAACGACGCAACAACAACTGGTGATCAACAACACATGGAACCAAACCACCACGGATTTAGCTGACTCAGAAGCTCCGAAACCGGAAGAATGGCCGATGGAGGACAGTGACGGAGCTGCATGTGGAAGAAGAGAGGGAATTCGAGTTCGACGGAGGAATACTGCGATAATTGGATCCAAAGGGAAAAAAGGGCTTCAATGAAAGGGAAGCTGAGCCGACTCCGATTGAACTGCGACTGGACTGTAACTGCAGATCGACTGTAGAACAAAGTCGAGAAATCGTACGGATGAAAGTGCCCGTCGTTTTGTAAGTGGAAATGGAAACGGGGGCCGTTGATTTTCTCGACGGAAGCAGTATTAACGAATCAAGTTGGCTTTAGCTTTGCTAGGGCCCAATAATTGCTTTTTTTAAATAAAAAAAATGGAAATAGTATTCTTTTAACCAATTACTAAATTAATAAAAAAAATAACTTTTTTCTTTTAAACAAAATTAATAATTACTTTCAAATTTTTAAAAAATATCCATAAACTTTAAATGAAAATCGATATTGTTTTATTTCAAAAATACTCGACATTTCATGGATTATCTCTATTTGATATTATTTCTGAAAGTTCACTAATATTTTAAAAACGTGTACTAACAATAAGATTATTTTTTAATCGTAGTACTAAAATGCCTATTAAAATAGAATGGGGTTTTTTAATATGTGAATATACCTCTGTGAATGCCTCCAAATAAACACCGCAAATAAATTTAAGGAACTTTTGCGGTTTTTCATATATAAGTGCAAGATCAAAATCAAAATAGTCAATCACATCGAAACAACCTCCTCAAATATATTTTTTTTTGCATCAATGGAAGGGAGGTGAGAGCGGACACAAATGTTTACCTTGTGTATTGAATTAGATGATCCTATACACTAACCATACCTAATATGGTCGATCTTGATTTTGGTTGAAACGAAGGGAACCTGTTACTAAACTTAACACAGGTACTAGGACTAAAATGAAACTTTCAAAGGCATAGAATCAAGTGAGTTAGGAAACGTCCAAACGATAGAAAAGAGAAGATAATCACACAACTTAGAATGTGTTAATATGAATCTAAAATTTCGATATGTAAAATGATACGAGTTATAAACAACACAGTAAGTTAATTACAAGAACAGTAATGCTAGAGAATGGAACAAAGGAGACTTTGCATCTTGCATGAGGGGTTGGAAATAAATAAAAGAAAAGAATAAAGAACTCACAAGTCGGAGTTTGGAAAGAACCTATACCTCCCTCCATGGCAATATTTTACAGTGACCAATGGAAACGGATGATCCAAGAGCCAATCTGTGCTTGTCTTTAATCACTCACTCACTCACTCCCAACAAATTAGCCCATTTTCCCTCTAAAAACCCTTTCAGTCCAAAAATTTACCCTAATATGCAAAGCAACAGTTAAAAAGTAAGGGTAGTCTCACCAAAAAAGCAGGATTGGTTTTTGGAAGCAACTCCGACGACAAGCTAAATCATGAATGCTTCTCACCGGCGCTGATCGGTTTCTCGGGGACTTCTAGTTGGGGAGGCAAGAGTTTCAAAAAGCTGCCTTGAACGGGTTGATTTGTCGCCATTGCAGATTCGTTAGCTGTGGTTGGAGACCAAAGTGACAACTTAAAATGACATTAACGAAGGAAAGATGCTTAAGAAATTCTTCGTGGGGCAATCATTACGGAAACAATGCAATGCAAATTCAAGAACAAATAATGGAATAGCAGCAAGAAAATGAAGGTTTCCTAAGGGCTTGAAAATTACCAAAAAGAGATTTGATGGAAGGTCTTGTAGATTTTGCGCTCTTCTTCTTCAATTCAGCTGTTAATAAAAGACGCAGACAAGTCATGTAAGTTTATTAAAATCGGCCATGTAAATGGATGTCGTAAAAGACAATATCTCCAATCAAGAAAAAGGAGAATGCGTTTCATGTATTAACAACAAACATTTTAGTTATGTATGAACTAAAGAAACATCTATCTTAACATTAAACGGTATATTAGTTGAATATATTCTGCCATGAAATTGTTCCCAAACATATATAAGAGAAAACAAAGATAATATAGTTCATCCTTCAGAACCATATCACATTCCAGATCTGATGAAATAGGATGAATTGAGACGGTATTTTATAAATACGTAATAATCTTGAATGTATTAACCATTTCTTTATGTTCCAATTGCCTGGAAGGACAAAAGAAATACATACTAAAGCACTATGGATAAACATGAACCCAAGAAATGAAGATAGAAGCCATAAAAGACTTGTCAATATAATCTACCTCGACTAAACAATAGCCTTTCCCAGAAAATACGATTGAAAGTTGAAATGAGTAACCAAGCCAACCAATACAAAAACCTACATTGCCTCGAGTGGCATTACTACCAGTAATAAAGAAAAACATCCTGTTATTTGGTTTTTGGGTAGTGTGAGAGGGGAAGTGAAAAGCAAAATATATATATCTGATGGAATTCTTTCTTCAAATATGCATTAAAAATTGAACCGACTACAAGAGAAAAATATTGTAAGAGGTGTGAAAAGAGATACCTATTCCAGGCAACTGATTATCATCAATGATTTCCAAGTTTTTGTACGTATAACCCACAAAATTGACGTCCTTCGATGATAACATCTGCATTAAACAACAAAAAGATAAGCAAACAGGCAGAGCATATTTTGTCCTATACATATACCGGTGGTTTCCAGATCATCGTCGTATGTCTTAAATACGAACAAGGTCGTATAAAACAATGGCCTAACGCCTCTCCCCAAATGAAAAGAGGAAAAGCAATGGTTCTAGTCGTTAAGAATCAAGAAAAGACGAATTTACTTGAAAAAACCAAAGAGAAGACTGAATTTCGCTAGACTCCAGACCTTTTCTCATTACTCATAATAAACTAATTTTCCTCCGGACCAAATAAACCAAGGAATAGCAAGAAAAACAGCCTGCCAAGGAGTCTCCTCCTGTTTCAATTCCAACACAGTCCAGATTCCAGACCATCTGGTCACTTTAGAAAATAGAGACGATTCCCAATACCATTGACATGCCAAATGTTTGTTTACCACCCCAAAAGCTGATTCCCATATGGCAAGAATCATACTGAAATTCAAGAAATTAGTCATTCATTAAAAAAAAAAAAAAAAAAAGTCATCAGTTGACACGTTAAGTCTCCAACCAGATGACCTTGTTTGACTCAATTAGAAGTTGCCTAGTATTACAAATTTATGGCATTGAAATAAAGCCGCTTCTCCAACTTCAAATCAAACGAGTGACTGAAGTCTGAAAAAAACACAGTAATTTTATCATATATCTTCAGCTAACTCCCCAAAAATGGATTTGATTGAGAAAGCCACAACAGAAAAAGAAAAAAAAATCATCCAGCATATTAGGAAATTATAGATGCAAGGTATAGAATGGCCACAGTAAATATTTTTGTCACTGTAAAAGCAAAACCCGATTCCAATGGTTCTCAATAAACAAATGATACATGATCAGGAGCCTGACAAACTAACCTTTCTCCATGGACCTGATTTTGATGACGTCTGAATTGCATTTTCAGTCTATCACAACATCCATAATCAGATAGACAGAACAAGTTAGCACAAGGGTAGCAGCAGCAGTTCTGCCGCAGATACAGAAAATGAATTACTCTGTACCTCTTCAAACTTCTCAAAGTTTTGAGTATCCAATTCGTCATTGACCTCAGGAATAAATGCAGCTTTCATTTGATACAACTTGTCCCATTCAATGCCCTTGAACCACGGGTGTGCCTACAAATAATAAGCCAAATCAACCAATAATTTAATTGCCACTCTATCATAGGAACTCATTATGTTAATGATTGATCAAAATTTAGAACAGAACACACCACACAACACCTTTATTTCATCTGCACCCTTGGTCCCAAGCCTTTGTTCAACATTGCATAAGAGTTTACTAATTAGATCCTTCGCTTCTGGAGAGAGTTTTGCTTCTTCTGGAAATTTCAAATGAGTTCTCCAATTAACTATCTGCATCATAGGTTAAAGAGAAAAAAAAAATTACTCATGAGAGAGAAAACAACATCAAATCACAAGACGAAAGAGTCAATTCCTAAATAATTAACTAAGCTACACAAATTAGAGATGGTTTATCCAAATTACACCATGTCCCTATAAGGCCCAGACCATCCTGAATTTTCCAGTTCACCCTTAATGAAATAAGAAAAATTAAGGGTCTGTTTACATATAAGGAATAACAATGACGGATTGAAGATTATTTCCCCATTCTATAATTATTCTTTACCCAAGTTGAAAATAATTAGGTCGCCAAACCTATCCAAAATAGTAGTTAGACTCGTCAGTCAAAATAGCGACATCCTAAACGAAGGTGGAGGACACTTTTCTCATTTATCCATTCTTTTTGTCCATTTCAATTTTTAGTTTAACATTTTGCTTCACTACATAACTATAGTCTTGTAACAATCTAAAATAATTCAGTAAGCCCTAACATTAGAAGTTCTTCTCCATTTTCTACCGGTTTTATTTTGATTGGCCTTCATTTTTTATTCATCCACATATTCATTCCCATCCAGTAAGCGTAAACCAACATAAATGCGACATACCCCGTGAGATTTAACTTCCATTCATGTTAAGAAATTAAGGGCCATAAGCATAATCAGAAACTAGTTCCATATTACCTTCCTACAAGTTGACATTGGCTCATCTGAGTAAAACGGTGGAAATCCCACAAGCATTTCATACATGATGGCACCAAGTGACCACCTGAAGAAGTTTTAGCAAAATAATTAAAAGGTTCTCTTGAAATATAAAAATATACCGAATAGAGCAGAAAGATGCTAACCAATCACATTCCATTCCATATCCTTTCTTCAACAAAACTTCCGGAGCAATATAATCAGGAGTTCCAACTGTAGAATAAGCCTGCATCCCAAATCACCTTGATGTCAAATACAAAAATCGGGGAAGCAACAAAAAGTTTGCAGTAAGAGGAGTGGTTGTTAAAGGTTTAAAATGGGAACTTCACTAAAGAGAGTGGAGAAACCCCCTAGAATAATCAAAATCAAAAGGGAAAACTTTTGCTCACCAGTACACCAGTTTATAAGTGACTAATGTAAAGTAATTACAGATCTACCATACATGATACTGAACTACTTACAAGCATCCGCCTATTCCTTTGCCAATGTTGTAGTTGTTCCTGTTGTGTGCGTTTTGATGCCACAGGTCGCCCATCACTTTGAAGAGCACCACTGAGGTTATTTCCCTGGGAAAAATCCTTTTCTTGTAGGTTACTACAATCTAATGGTTTACATAATCCAAAATCTGATAATTTCATATGGCCATCCTTGTCAAGAAGCAAGTTATCTGGCTTGATATCTCTGCAAAGCACACAGGGAATAAGGGTTACTCCAAAACAACCCAATGCAATTTATAAACTACAGAATAAATCAGGCAGGAGTTTTCACCTATGAATATAATTATGTTTATGGATTGACTCAATAGCTAAAACTGTTTCACCAACATAAAATCGGGCCTCGTCTTCTGTTAGAGTATCTTTCCTCATAAGCAAAGTCATCATATCTCCACCAGGTAAGTATTCCATAATAAGATACAAATACTCTTCATCTTGGAAAGAGCAGTACAGCTTTACAATACAATTACTGTCAACCTCCGCCAATAGATTCCTTTCAGCTTTCACATGTTCAACCTATAGTCAAATAATACACATTCAATAAAATAGTGACGGAAACCGAATATAGTGCCGGTAATGCAATCATACCTGGCCTCTTCGAAGCATCTCTGATTTCTTAAGCTTCTTCATGGCATATACATGGCCTGTTGCTTTCTCACGACAAACTCTAACCTGTATCTCAATCAAAATGGAAATGTGTCTCATAGAATGTACAATAGGTTAACATTCTGTAAGACAGTGCTCACGAAAAATAATGCATATGGAAACTACAAGCAAGATCCCACTGCCAGCCAGACTGTCCCAAACCAAAAGGAACCCCAAGTGGGGAAGATGCACCGATGCAATAGGAAAAAAGAAAGACGAGTTCACTTTGACCAGCTCCGGCTATTAACACTTGGTCCTTTTCTTTCAGCTGAATTACTAGACTTAGCAGCCTAGTTAAAAACAGTGTCAAATCATACTTTAAAAGCTAACCAATAGCAGCCGCACAATCAAGTATGGATAGACAAACTTTCATGTGAAAGGAAGTATTCACACCTCTCCGAAAGCACCCCTCCCTATCATTGTTAGAGGCTCAAAATCATCAGCACCCATTTTATGCCTCTGAAGGCGCATATACTCCGTTTCCTTCTTCTCTAGATGCTTAAGCAGGTTGCTCTGCTCTTCTTGAGAGACCTCAGCATCAGCCAACTTCTTTTCTAGTACATGGCGTCTGCAAGAGATGAAAACTTTACTCCATGGTACGAAAAATGAACAAGTACATAGAATATTAACTAAACAGCCAAGGTGACAGAGGACTTCAATCCATATCCGGGAAAAAACCGCAGGCTGACCTAAAAAGGAAAGTGCGCAACTGGAATAAAAAAACATCTGTAAAACAAAATGTAGCAAAGAATGATAGCACCTAAGCCAAACAAATTTAGCATGTGTTACACAGTACTTTACATGAAGATGGAAAGGCAGCAGATAGAGTGAGGAAGGACTAAGGAGGAGAGAATACTGTAGAAAACTAAACTAATCCCGCAACTATTTCTTTGTTAGCAGATATTTTATATACATACATAATTTACTAAAATATTCCATTGGGACTTTACCAAAATATAATCTAAAAAAATGAATACGTTAAAGAGTAAAATAAAAGGCATATTCAGACCAGTATATATTTGACTTACAGAGGAAACATTGGTCTCTCAAAGTTGGATATATACACTTACACCTAACAGCTAATTTAAAAAAGATATGTGTAAACAGAATAGATGCCTTCCCAAAAATAAGTTTTATGCATAAGAACGTTTTTCCTTCTTTTTTTTTTTTTTTTTTTTTTTTTTTTTTTTTTTTTTTTTTTT